GTCATCGTCATCGTCATCCTCCTCCTCTTCCTCATCATCATCACCATCATCATCATCATCATCGTCATTATCATCATCATCATCATCATCATCATCATCATCATCATCATCATCATCATCATCATCATCATCTGCATCATCATCATCGTCATCAGCAGCAGCAGCAGCCGCATCAGCATCAGCATCATCACCATCATCATCAGCACCAGCATCTGCATCATTGTCAGCATCATCATCATCATCAGCAGCAGCAGCAGCAGCATCATCATCATCAGCAGCAGCAGCAGCATCACAACTTCCCCTCACTTCTCCTCCCTCCTCACCCCTCCTCACTCCTCTTCACTCTTCCTCACTCTTCCTCACTCCTCACTCCTTACTCCTCCTCCTCCTCCTCCTCCTCTTCCTCCTCCTCATCCTCCTCACTATCCTCACAATCCGCACTCTGCTCACTCTCCTGACTCTCATCACTCTCCTCACTCAACTCACTCTCCTCACTCTCCTCACTCTCCTCACTCTCCTCACTCTCCCCAGTCCTCCTCACTCCCCCTCACTCCTCCTCACTCCTCACTCCTCCTCCTCACTCCTCCTCACTCCTCCTCCTCCTCCTCCTCCTCCTCCTCCTCCTCCTCCTCATCATCATCATCATCATCAGCATCATCAGCAGCAGCCAGCAGCAGCAGCGACACTACCACCATCACCATCACCATCACCACCATCATCATCATCATCATCATCATCATCATCATCAGCAGCAGCATCAGCATCAGCATCAGCATCAGCATCAGCATCAGCATCAACATCAGCATCAGCATCATCATCAGCAGCAGCATCAGCATCGCCATCATCAGCATCAGCATCATCAGCATCAGCATCATCATCATCAGCATCATCATCGTCATCACCATCACAATCACCATGACCATCATCATCAGCATCATCAGCATCAGCATCATCATCAGCAGCAGCATCATCATCACTTCTACTCACTCCCCCTCACTCCTCCTCACTGCTCCTCACTGCTCCTCACTGCTCCTCACTCCTTCTCAATCCCCCTCAGTCCTCCTCACTCCTCCCCACTCCTCCTCACCCCTCCTCACTCCTCTCCTCCCCTCCTCCTCCTCCTCCTCCTCCTCCTCCTCCTCCTCCTCCTCCTCCTCCTCCTCCTCCCCCATCTCCTCCTCTCCTCCTCCTCCTCCCCTCCTCCTCCTCCTCCTCCTCCTCCTCCTCCTCCTCCTCCTCCTCCTCCTCCTCTTCCATCTCAAATTCACCGCGCGGTCTGTCACCGACGGGCGAAGCAAGCGCAGGGCAAAGCGAGCCAAGCGAAGCAAGCCGGGCGAAACAGCCCCGGGAGAAGTGAACCGGGCGAAGCAAGCGCCGGGCGACGCAAGCCCAGCCAACCTCTGACGAACTGAGACGGGCGAAGCGAGCCGGGCGAAGCGAGGCCCGGGCGAAGCGAGCCCACACCATCCTCTTGCACCCCCATCCTCCTCCAGCTCGCTCCTCGCTCTCCTTCCTCCCTCTTCTTGATAGCCTCCTCCTCATCATCATCAGCATCAGCATCAGCATGGTCATCCTCATCAGCATCATCAGCATCATAGTCATCAGCACCATCATCACCATCACCATCACCATCATCATCATCATCATCATCATCATCAGCAGCAGCAGCAGCAGCATCAGCATCATCATCAGCATCAGCATCAGTACCAGCATCATCACCGGCAGCATCATCATCATCATCATCAGCATCATCCCCCGTGCTTCCCAACATGCTGTCTACTACTCACGTCTTCGGGCATGATCTTGATCCTGTTGATAGGTTATTGGTCCGAGTCTTCTGGTATTGTTTTTCCTGGAAGTGGTCCCAAGTTGCGTCTCGGAGAGGATGTACTTGATTCCATGGCTAGGGTGTCCGTTAAGCGCATCTGCAATGAGAAATATGTGTACGTAGGCCGGCCGACCGGAGGGAGGGCGGGGGGCCCGCGCAATAGATTACCTCTAAGCCGACTCTGCTGCGCGTGGTATCGCAGTGTCAATGTTGATAAGATGGCACCTGCAACCTTCAGTTAGAGGGTAAAGGCGGCGTATCAAAAGGTAGCAAGGGTAGCGTTAATAACGACTCTCCCCTCCTCATCCTTTCCTACAGTTCCTTATCCTCTTCCTCCAGTTCCACTACTTCCTCCACTTCCTCTCCTCCCATCCTCCTCCACCTCCTCCCTTCCTCCCCATCCTTCACCCGCCCCAATCTCCCCCTCCCCCAACTCCTCCAGAAACTTGCGGAACCGCCGAACACCATCGAACACCTTCATTGAATGTCCGAACACTTCGGATCTCTTCCGGAACCTCATCCCTCCTTCTCCCCCAACATTATGCGCTGGAGCTCTCGACCACTTGACTGAAGAAACAGTTCATCCCAACCACTTCGACGGCCAGATTTTGATCCTAGGGCTCATTTTAACGGCCACTTCTCGGGGTGGACGAGAAGGGGGAGAGGATAACACAGAGGGGTTAGCGACTCAGCACATGCTGCTGTTTTTCCTGGCGCCTCCTGGCGGTGGCGGCCGTGAATCGAAGAGAAGCCGGCGGCTGGGCAGCAGATGTCGTACTTCCCCCGTTCCCAGAATCTCCACCTTGCCATCCTGGACGCCGTCAGGGACCCACGACAAGCGAAATTCCTTGCGAGAACGCTCGAGTCGCCTAGAAGGTCTGAGCTCCACCACCTCCGTATCACACTCTCCGCGTCTTTCATCCACCCGCGCCGCCTCGAATACCTCCACCTCCATGTGGCCCGCTTCAGAATAGAGGACAAATCAAACGGCACAAACATAATTTCTCGAAACTCCGCGCGGATTTCTTGGATGGAAGCTGGACGCTCCTCCTTGGCGCGCGGAGCGCGCCAAGGGCGGCGCGAGAGGTGCCGCCAGGGGAGCCCAGAGCCGATCCAAGAAATCCGCGCGAAGCTCCGAGCAATGATGGGTTTGCCTCGGGGACGGCAACTGGGTCTGAGCTGGATGGGCCCTTGCAAAACCTGCCAAGGCGAGGGGATAGAGGCAAATCCGCCCAAAACCGGTCCCCAGGTCCCGCCTCCTTATCTCCTCCTCCTCCTCCTCCTCCTCCTCCTCCTCCTCCTCCTCCTCCTCCTCCATATCTCCTCCTCCTCCTCTTGTGTGTCCCAGGGCCCCTTCAAAGAAACAGAGGCGTAAACTCTTGGCGCTCCACGCGGATTTCTTGGGGCCGCGCGGGGCTCCCCCTGGCGGCGCCTCCGCCGCCCTCCCTGACGCGCTCTCAGCGCGCCAGGGAGGGACCGTCAAAGACGGATTTGGTGCAACAACATGCCGACCCTGAAAGATATCGACGACTACCAGGAGGGGGAGGAGGAGGAGGAGGAGGAGGAGGAGGAGGAGGAGGAGGAGGAGGCTCCTTAGAAGGTGCCGGCCTCACACCTACAGACAAGGCCCGCGCCTTCGAAGAAGCAGGGGTGCTTCTATGAGGCATCCCCTCCTTCCCCTACCCCCCTCTCTTGCCATCGCTCGGAAGCCCATTCCTCGTGCATGTCTCGGCTTCCTGCGCTTGCTCTTTGCGAGCTACTCCAGGATGCTCCTCCATGGTCACCGCCAAGGAAACCAATAAATACCAGCCAGCGTTGACTCCAAATCGCTAGGAGGACAGGAGGAGGACGAGAGGAGGATGGGAGGAGGACGAAGGGCGTAGGCACAGGAGCGAGGGGGGAGGCACAGGCATAGCCACAGGAATTAGGCAGGGGCATCGGAAGTAGGGGGGGGGGGGGCGGGGGGGGGGGACCAATTATAGGGGAACAAAAGGTGACATAAACATAACAACTCGGAGGTCCGCGCGGATTTCTCGGATCGGCGCTGGACCCCCCTCCCTGGCGCGCGGATCGCGCCAGGGGCGGCGCCGGAGGCGCCGCCGGGGGGCCCCAGCGCCGATCCGAGAAATCCGCGCGGACCTCCGAGTTTGTATGTTTTTTGTGTCACCTTTTGCTCCCCTAAATTAGTAGGGCTTGCGTTAGAACTCCAACAGGCGAGCCTACCTTTGGAGGTCTCCAAACCAGGTGGTGAGACACCCGGTGGTGACCCCGATTCCCCCCAACAAAAAATCCTTGGTCACCACCGGGTTTGGGGACACGCGATCGCCACGAGGTCTTGCGCTTCCTGGGCCAGACAGCGCTCGAAAACCATTACCCAAATCGCCCAAAACTCACCACCGGGTGTTCTCACCACCACGTTTGGGGATCACCAATACCTGGACAACTACTCACTTCCGGAGCGCGGCCGAACTCTGCGCGCGGCCGCCGCGCCCCACCTCCGCCGGCCTGCCGCCGCCCGAGCCGCGCCTCCCTCCTGCGGGCAGGTGCCGACGCAGCCGCTGCTCGGGGCAGCAGCACAACTGCACTCGGCCAGGCGCCGCGCGGCCAGGCCGGGCTCGGCCAGGCGGACCTCGGCCAGGCTGCCCTCGGCCGGCGGATCTCGGCCTGCCTGAGCTGGGCCGAGCTGGAGCGCCTGCGCCGAGCTCGGCCAGGCCGAGTTCGGCGGGCCGGGTTCGGCTGGCCGAGACTCGGCCTCGCCGAGTCTCGCCTGGCCGAGTGCTTCCTGTGTCCCAGCCCAGCCCTTTCTTGGAGCGCCTTGCGACCATGATTCAGAGGCGGGTCCAGCCGTGGCGACGAAGGGTACCCCCCAGTCGGAAGAAGTGGGCAGAAGCATGAAGTCGAAGGGCGTCGGAAGGATATTGGGTTTCGGCGCGCCCCTGGAAAAGGAAGGGGAAGTGAAACCCACCCTGCCAGAACAAAAATGCGCCTAAAGAAAAGTGGGATCTGCGAATCCAGGAACACCTACTTTCGGCGACCGATGGGCGATGGGCAGCAAAATCGGCGTCCTCGGGCTGGCGACCCGTCCCCGAGGAGGCGAGGCGAAAGCCGCCCCTCGAAAAAGCAGACCTCCGCACTCCGCGCCCCCACGAGCGTTGTTTCTGGCCCGCGGCGCCAGCACGAAGGCCCCGAAGGTCCCGAGGTTGCAGTGGAAGCACCTCCCACCCCCGTGCCCGTCGGCGCAGTGGGCGCGAGGCGCGAGTCGGAAGGACGGGAGACTCCTCCTCCTCCTCCTCCTCCTCCTCCTCCTCCTCCTCCTCCTCTTCCTCCTTCTCCTCCTCTTCCTCCTCATCCTCCTCCTCCTCCTCCTCCTCCTCCTCCTCGTCTCCCTCCTCCTCCTCGTCTTCTCCACCTCCTCCTCCTCCTCCTCCTCCTCCTCCTCCTCCTCTTCTCCACCTCCTCCTCCTCCTCCTCCACTACCTCCTCTGCGCAAGGCGCGAGGCGCAGGGACGATGGAGACTCGCGAGCAGCGAACATATCCGTATCCGCGCCCTCGCCGTCCGGTTTCCGGAGCGCGATCCCGCGGATACGCAGTCGCACGGATACGTTTCACGCGGGGGTTATCCCCGGAGGCCCGGCCCGCGAGGCCGCGGATCGGAGGTGAGGGGGCGAGATCGCAGTGAAGCGGAGAGCCTCCCACTGGGAGATCGAATTCGGTTTCGTGTTCGTGTCGTGCGTGCGGGCGAGGCGACGCTGCGACGGCGGGCGAGAGGAACGCCCCCTCCTCTGGCTAGGGCGCCGCAAGGCCAACAGACCCCCCCCCAGTTGGCCAGCGGTGGCTGGGGGTGCCCCGCAGTGGTGTGCCGATGGTGTCTTGCGGTATCCCGTGGTGTCCCGCGGTGACCCGTGGTGTCCCGTGACACGGCGTCCCGCAGTGTCCCGCGGTGTCCCCTGAGGTCGATAGTGAGATCGATGGTGAGATCGATAGTGAGGACGATAGTGAGATCGATAGTGAGATCGATTGTGAGCTCTATCCTGAGATCGATTGTGAGATCGATAGTGGGATGGATAGTGAGATCGATAGTGAGATCGATAGTGAACACGATAGTGGAATCGATAGCAATACCGATAGTGAGATCGATCGAGTGAGATCGATAGTGATATCGATGGTGAGATCGATACTGAGATCAATAGTGAGATCGATGGAACTAAGGATATTGAGATTGGTTGCAAGGTCGATAGTGAACACAAGTGTCAGACCGATGCTAGTTAGATCGATAGTGAGATCGATAGTGCGATCGATTGTGAGATCGGCTGTGGGATCGATAGTGATAATGAAAGAGAGATCAATCGAGTGAGATCGACTGTGGGATCGAGAGTGAGATCGATAGTGAGATCAATAGTGAGATCGATTGAGAGGGACGTTGGTTCCTCCCCCCCCGAACCTCCTTCTCACCCGGAGGGGGGTCGTGTAGGTACGGGTATGTTTTTTGCCCACGAACCCTTGGGAGGAGGAGGAAGGAGTTAGGAAGCAACCCCCGGGAGGTCTTGAGGGGTATAAATAAAGAGCCACTAAGCCACATCAGGCGCAAGTAAGCCCGAGATTATTGAAGGGGCCCTGGGACACACAAATAAATACACACAAATAAAAAGGCTCCCCATATTTTCCTATATGTTCTGGGTTTTTGTCTTCCCGCCCAATTCCATATGGTCTTCGGGATCGACGATTAATTGTGTCTGTGTGTTTTCCCTCCTGAATTATGCCGGACTCAACCAGAGATTACCTAGGAAAAAAGAAGGATTGAGCGGAGTTGTGCCAGATTTGGCCTGTGTTCGGCCACGGATGTGTCAGCGCCGATGCTGAGCTCAACTCCCCAGGAGCTGCATCCCGAGGAGAGGGAGGGTGGAGACACCGGGAAGGAGGAGGCAGGAGGGTCGAGCATCGATGGCCGAGGCGCTGGACGTTCGGTGGGGGGGCTTCTTGAGACACCTCCTGGGACCTCCCTGTGATCACGGCTGGATATGGCACCATATTCTGGCCTGAACGCATCCCAGGACAGGTTCCGAGGCCGAGTTTTCGAGCAGGCATCGACTACAGTGAACTCTTGCACCCCACAGCTGGTACTTGACGAGTCCACAAGAGAATGCCGAGAAGCGTCGTATGTTCGACAACCACTCTACGTCGTAGTAGAGTGAATCCGACGAGGCCCCCTTGGGGAGGCCGTCGAGGCGTCGCTTGGCGTGGAAAGGAAGACGGTCCACGGTGAGTGCCCTCCTCCCCCTCCTCCTCCTCCTCCTCCTCCTCATCCTCCTCCACCTCCTCCTTTCCGTCGCGGCCGTCCCTCCCCGCCCTCTTCGCTCTCGCGCCGCCGGACAGCTCGTGTGCCGAGCGCCCCCCGGCTGCTCGAGCGCGCGTGCGGATTGCCTCTGCCGCGCTGCCGATGGGATCATGTTCCACAACCGCTACCATAGGTGGGAGACGGAGGAGGAGGAGGAGGAGGAGGAGGAGGAGGACCTCCTCATCCCTCCTTCCCCCCCGTCCTACATATGGTAGCGGTGGTGAGAAGGTTGCCCATCAGCTGCGACAGAGATGTGGAGAGAAAGAAGGGAGAGATGGGGACGAGGGCAAGAGGAGTGCGCTCGCGCCCTCTCTAACATCCTACGGCAAGTTCGCGTCGTCGACCCCGGGGCTGGTTCCTAACACCTTGGGGATCGTTCCAACTCAAACGATCGGCCGTTCAATTAACGCTGGATCGTTCAACGACGGGCCGATTCTGGGCCACGGGCGGCGTTCAACCTTGAACGCACGCGCTGGGGTCGCCGCCGGTCGACACGACGCGAACCTGCCATACCCCTCCCGCCCATCCCTCCCCATGGCGCTGGATGTTCTCTGTTCACGGACGCGTGCCGTGGCGGACCCTGAACTCCCAAGCAGATCCCATCATGTTATGCGCAGTCGGCAAGGGAGGAGCTGAGCAGGAAGAGGAGGAGGGGATGAGGGAGGGAGACGAAGGACGACGACGAACAGCAGCAGCGGGAACTGGAGTAGAAGGAGCGAGAGGAGCAGCAAGACCAGGGAAAGGCGGAGGACGGGTAAGGAGGAGGGCGACAACGATGGGGAAGGACTCGGACCCAGAAAAGTGGTCCGTGCTGGGGCGAGACCGCCACTCTAAACAACGGGAGCAAAGCGTCAATCCGAAAATGAGGCCCACGCTGCAGCGGGGACACAATTTTGAAGAAAACAATCGGATTGAAAACAAGCATGAGAAAGATCACCTTTGTTTCCTGTGTAAACGAACGATGCGGGAAGAGGGCGGGACAACGCCCGGACAGAGAATAAGGGAAAAGAGGAGAGTAGTATCCATAATGCATAGTTATGAAAACATATCCCCATATGTTCCCAGGTAACATATGATGCTCTCTGAAGGCTGGCCTAGAGCAGTGAAGAGGGAAGAAGGACGGCAGACGGAGGAGCGACGGGAAAGGATGAGGGATTGTGGTGTTATGGTGTGTGCGCGTGCTTGGGTTGGGAGGCTCTTGCCAGTTCTCAGGGCAGAGAGGACGTGGGCTCCTCGCCAAACGCAGGACGGATGGGAGGCGCGAGCGTGCAGCTTGAGCAGGGGCCGACCGTCCTGGCCTTTTCATAGTCCTACCACGCAGTGTGATTAGAGCCAACGGATGTTCGAACAACAAGATAATGCTCTTAAAGCATGGTCCCGATGTGTGCAAAACAAGACTGCATCAGCCAGAAATGTTGTGAGAACATGTGGTGCCGACCACGAAAGGTTCTTAAGACATTCTTCGGTGGGCCCACTATAGGCAAGCCAGGACGAGTCGCCACTGCTTGAGTAACGCTGGGGTGGCGCAGTATCAACGCCTGCGGTTCAAGTCATAGATAGACTGGGTGCGCCAAGGCACACCACGAGATTCATCGAAATCAAGCACAGGCAGCACACTGGCTATCTCAGGGTCTGGTCCTGTCGATCCTGCTCTCCGCACCCAGGGGGCGCTAAAGAGGATGGGACAGAATAGGGAGAGGCCGAGCGTGTCTCGAGTGTCAAAACCAACTGATGCAAAGCTGTAACAATGATGGCAACGCAACGCCGCGAAGCTTGAGCAGGGACCGACCGTCCCGGCATTCCTATAGTCATACCACGAAATGTTGCCCTCTCGGTGCTGCTGCAGCTGCTCCTGCTCCTCTTCCCCCTGTTCCTGCACAACCTACCCAATATGAAAGATCCTCCTTCCCTCGCTGAGCAGAGCCCACCGTCTGACAAGAAGGACGCACGAAGATCCTCCACCTGCTCCTCCTCCTCCTCCTCCTCCTCCTTGTCATGCTCCTGCTCCTTCTGCAACGACTTCTGCTTTTGCTGCTGCTGCTGCTCTTCTTCCTCCTCCTCGAAACTCCTTACCTAGAACGAAAAATCGTTATAAACATGAACTTCGATCCCAGAAATCCTCGCGGAGCGCCGGAAGATTATGTTCATGCATATTTTTCTTCTTCGATCCTCATCGTTTCCTCATTCATCCTCATGATGCCGGGATCTCGGGCAGCTCCATCTCTCCGAGCCGCTCGGCCCTGGAGCTTTCGAGCCCTGGCCCGGAGCCACGTGCCCCCAGCCGCGGACATTGGCCTCTGGCGCGGGCCCTTTCGGTCCGCTCCGCCAAAGTCCGCGCTGGGGGCTCAAAAATGCAGCGTCCTGAGGAGCGTCAGCACTCGTCCGACAAGAGTCCACGCTCGGCGCTCAGCGGAAGTCTGCAGGCGCAACAAATGCAGAAGTCCGCGCTCGTCGCCAAAAGTCCGCTGAGGCTGTCCCGGGGAGCGTCCTGGTCGAGAATCTCGAGGCGGGTCCAGCCCTGACGACGAGGGGCCTCCAGGGCACCCGAAAAAGACGGAGATCGTCCATCCTTGGACCTCCTCGGCGCCATACAATGGAGGCCAGTCCACAAGAAACCTTCGACAACAAACCCAACTCTGACACCCCAGGATGTCCATGGATGTTCGGTGCGGGAACGTCACACCTTCCACAGCAAAACCATCAAAACCCAAAAAATCCAGGGCACCCTGAAGGCAAGCAGGGTGTCCTGGCATGGGCCCCCACTGTACTCAAGTCGGCCTGAGATAGCTGCGTGCTTGGGGGAGCCAGAAACGACTTCCAAAAAGCGGTGGCGTCCTCAAGTCGGCCCTGGAGGGAAGCGCATGCTTCTGAGGTCGAGTTTGACTTCCCCAATAAAAGCCATCGAACCTGCATCCTTGAACCTCCTCGACTTCCTCCCTCGCCGCTGCCCCTGCCCGCTGCCTGCACCTCGGGCGGTGGCTGCCGCCGGGCGTCCCCCCCCCCGCCCGGCCTGCTCATGATCGAGCACGCGTGCCCGGGCAGGACGCTGTTCGTCGCGCATGCCATGTGGGTGGCATCCTGGGAAGGCCCGCGTCCGTCACCGACAGCTGCCCTGGTGCCGCTCGCCCCCCGTGGGCCTCTGGCCCCTCCGGATGCCTGCGACCTCTGGAGGCCTCCCGGGACCTCCAGAGGTCTCCTCCGCCTCGCTCATCCTCCCCCTCTGCTCCACAGGAGCTCCAGCAAGCCGCCGCTCTGGTCCACGGAGAAGGACGAGGAGGAGAAGGAGGAGGGGGAGGAGGAGGAGGAGGAGGAGGAGGAGGAGGAGGAGGAGGAGGAGGAGGAGGAGGAGTGAGGAGGTCCGCAGGAGCGACGGGCGGCGAGGGGGAAGGGGCGCAGGGCCCCCCGGCTGGGCACCGCGCAGCACTCGCGCGAGTGGTGCGGCCCGCGGGCTGGTGGGGCACCGCGGGGATGTTGGGCTTCAGCCCGATGTGCGCCACGGAGGTCGGCATGCAGGACACGCCCGAATCCACAGCGGCTTTCGTTTCGCCCTCTCGCTGTGACGTCCCCCCCCCCAGGAGGAAAAGGCGAGGAGGACGAGGACGAGGACGAAGAGGACAGGCAGGACGGCGACAGTGTAGCGCAGCTGCAGCTGGCGGACGAGTGTTATACGGCCAGACGCGGCGCTGCGGGTGGGCGGGGCGTCCGCACCGCGGCCCCGCCGCCCCGAATCATAAGGCGAGCGATGAAGCTCGGCATGCTGGGCTGCTGGTGTTGTTTGTTTGTTATTTGGAATCGTCCCCCCCGCGACCCGACCCGCGACCCACCCCCGACCCACCCAGCGACCCGCCCGCGACCCGCCCGCGACCCACCCGCGACACACCCGCGACCCACCCCGCGACCCACCCGCGACCCACCCACGACATGCCGACCCACCCGCGACCAAACCCGCGACACACACACACACACTGCTTCAACGAAAAAATCAGCGCCTGCGGCGGGCTCGTAAAAATTAAGCGCCTGTGCCGCCCTTTCAGAGCCTCGCAGACTGCAAACGTTCCCGCCACCCCATCACTCTTATCCGCGACCGCGGGGTGCTGCGTATGAGCGAGTCCGTCGGCTCCCATCGCGATTGATGTGCCGCCGCAGCCGCGATACGCCAAGGCAGCTCCGCACTGTACGGCAGTGGTATGAGCATGTGCTTCAGAGCTTGCCTAGAAGATGTATACCGACTGCATGCGTGGATCCGAATGGCTGGCAGGAGATTTCGCATACTGATGGGTAGTGGCAGCGACTGGAGACGACGGAAGTGGGAGAGGCACGATCACGAGAGCCCCGACGGCGGAAGCAGGTGAGCAGTTTTGACAGTTTTGACATGCCAACGAACGACAGCACATGACAGCAACCGATAGGATGAAGCCAACATTGGAACATACGTACTTCGGTGCCCAGGGGCGTGAGCAGTTGCATTGGTTCCAGATTCATACCAGATGGTTTGATTGACATGATGGGCACTTGTTCTCCATTGTTTGGGTTGGGAGCAGCAATGCAAGCGCTCAAGGGCATTCCGACACGAGATAAAGCGCCAGTGTCTTTGAAACTAAGAGGGTTGCAGTCAATTGGAAATGAGGACGCAACTCCAGCACCTGAGAAGACGAAGTGGAACACGGATGGTCTCATGAATTGTCTGCGACATGGACATCGGCGTGGAGAGATCTTGAAGGCAGTCGAGATAGCGTTAGAGGAGAGCGAGGTCACTTGGGGGCGATTTTGTCTTTGGGGAGGCCTGACGAGATGTTCAAGCATCTGGGTATTGTGCTCGTGGTTACAGGACAGCATTTTGTTCGTCATCCTGTGGCCAACGATACGAGCTACTGACAGGAAGCTGAAGGGAGAACTACACAGTTGAAGAAGAGAGGCAGGCTTCGAATATCGAGAGCAGACATGACAGAGGAGAGTGAGGAGCTCATTCAATGTTGAGCTGAACTTGCACGACTTAGTCCAGAGCAACGGCGCCGACGGCATCTTGTTTGCATCCGACGGGAGGCTCAGTACACGAGGCATGAGTAAATACATGTGGCATAAGAAATCATATTGTCAAGACAAGCAGCACAATGTCGATAGGTATGTGCCTAAACGTCGGGGTGGTCGATTGTTGCGAGGTGCTTATTTCACGAAATAAGTTATGTTGGATTACTAGTCGAAGCCTAGATGCAGAGGCGGCATGATGGCCGAACTACTTTCCGACGTCCATGGGTGGATCGAGTATATGTGCCGGCAGGTCCGACCCCTTACACCAGCATAGGGGACCGTGAGCTCGCCCCCCGGAACCGCAAGAGGATTCGCAAGTACTTTCAGGCGGCCACCAAGCGCCGTGAAATGCCATCTGGTACAGTCGGGACGTTGACCTAAGGAACCCTAAATAAGGAACGAGGCCCCTTTTTCCCATCAGTGAAGGTTCGATTTCCCATCGAAAACCTGAGGAAAACCTAGGACAAGCTGTGAAACAATCAAGGAACACGGAGCCCCTCCCCAACGAAAAGGGTTCCTTCTTCAGGCGCCCCGACTGTACACCTCCAACGGAGATCTGGCTTATGTGCCAGCGGCCTGAGGGGAACGTCTCCACGTCGGGGCTGGGTCTGGGACTCAGAGAGGAGTTCTCTGAGATGCACTTGCTTGGGAAGATTCTGGAGGGGGGGCTTAGACTTCCTCGGGCAACCCAATCGTACGCCGATGAGGTGGCACTGCAGTTCTGGAGCTCAGCTGCGGAAAGGTGCGAAATCAAGGTCTGAAGGACGTAGGACAGTTCATTTGCTTCCGATGGTGGGCAAGGCGTTCTACCCAGGCCTCCTAAGGGTACCTTCACTGGCAAGATAACACGGGTTGTGCCGTGGACGTAAACTTTAAGATGCAATCGTAGCAGTTCTAACTCCTTAGTTGGTGAGTTCGGCGTGCTGGTTACGCGCTTGCGGTCACGTTCAAAGATGTGAAGAAAGCGTTTGCCTGTGGGTCCTGGGACGAAACAATTACGACACGCAACTCCAGAACATCTAGACCGTTTTACCCAACCTTTTCGCAACAGTGAGATCTGGCCAGAGTCGCTGGAGGGGGGGGGTCTACTTTGAAGTCGGGCGAAGGGGGCACGATGGGGGGCCGTTCGTGGTGGAGCTTTTCAGAGGCGCTTTCTCGAGACCAGTTACACAGTGGCTCTGGCGCCTGAGAGAGACAGACCAGCAAGCGAAGGATCTCACTGCAAAGTGACTGGAGTCTAGTGCGGACGTCGGCAGCAGCTTGTGCGCCGACGACATGGCCCGCACGCATGTGGCTGCTAAACTTGCTTCAGTCGGAGAATCTTTTGGACTCCAGACAAACCGCAGATGAGGCGTTGTCAAAGGAGCTCGCGGAGTGCAGATACGCCCAGAAGTTGGCGAAACAGGAAACTCAGCTGCACTTCCAGGGACCAGGGGCCGTACAAAATCGACAGTGGGCGAAAGGAACGGGTCGTTCGAGGATCTCAGGGGAACTACAGGAGGAAGTTCGGTATCTGGGGCATCGCATTACACTTCAGCAGTCAGCGACGATTGAAATCCGTCGCCGAATCCAAGCGACTGCTGAAACTTACTATTATCTGGGGCAAGTCTGGAGTCTAGAGGTGCCGTTTCGGTGGAAGCGGACGCTGTTTTTGAGCTTCGTCCAAAACGCAACGCTGACAGGGCTAGAACCAATGCTGCTGACAGAGAAGCTAAATCGAGAACTCGACTCACTGCTCGCTCGATTCGGGAGGAAAGCTTTACAGGGGAAGGCGGTGGTGAAGGCGGGGATAAGACTCGATCGTGGTCCAACATGCAAGTCCTACAGCACTGGAGACTGGCGAGTTTGGCTACGGAGCTTCTGGTGCGCAGGTTGGGATGGTACCGCACCTGGGCAAGAGGTCCGGCATCCCATGCGCAGGAGCTGCGCCTGCTGTGCGGGAGAACGAGCAACGACCCGCTTGGCCAAACGTTCTGCGGAAAGATTGTGCTCCCGCCATTAGCTTCTCCGCGGCTTCGCAGAATGCAGGAAAACTCTAGGAAGGCGTCGAAGCTCATGGATGAGGGGGAGTTGTGTAACCACTTGGCGGACCACCCCGGGGACCTGATTCGGGAGGATATCTTGGAGGGGTTGAACCAGATCGGGTCCAGGGAACTCTCGGCGATTATCCCCCCAGCAGACCGGACGAGGACCTCAGCGCCCGGCAAGACCTCGAGGAGCCCCAGGAGCACTCATGGCACTGCGACTGGATGGAGGAGGAGGGAGTCTGTGGGAGATCATTCCAAACAAGACGGGACCTCCTGCACCATATGCGTCGTATACAGAAGGGACACAAGCTGAGCTCAACGATCACGCCGACCAACACATGCACAAGGATGCAGACGCACATTCGCATCCCAATCAAATGTTTCCAAACATCTAAGGAAAGCGATTTCGTCGGGCAAGCGTCCGTCCAGGGGGTTGTCGACGTGTCGTAGAATTGGGGCGATTATCGTGCTGGGGGCGTGGATGTTCTCTGTAGGCATACGGCTGCAGAATACCGCCCGCGCGAAGTTGAGCCCAACCTTCCGAGAGAGCTTCCGCTAGCAGGAGACGGGCCACGCGGCGAGGACACCGGCGGGGGCGGCACTGCCGCGACCAGAGCGGACCATGGCCCCACCATCAGGAAGCCAGACAAAACATAGCCGCAACGAGACAAGGGCCGAGGCGGCAAGAATCGCAGGAAGGGACAACGCGTGCCAGCAGGAGGAGGAGGAGGCGGAGGACAAGGGAGGAGGGGGAGGACGAGGCAGCAGGAAGAGGAGGAGGAGCTGGCGATCTTGCTCTCAGAGCTGGTGCTGTCAGAGAGCAGGGCGCCGGCGGAGCTCACGAGCACGGTGCACAAGACATACGACGTGGACACAGGCGCAGGACTCGCTACGGCAGGTTTGCGTCGTGTCGACCCTGGCGTTGGTTCCTGACACCCCGGGGATCGTTCAACCTTGAACGATCGGCCCTTTGCTGAAAAGTCAGATCGTTCAACATCGCCCGATCCTGGGCCGTTGGCGGCGTTCAACGTTGAGCGCTGGCGGCAGGGTCGCCGCTGGTCGACACGACGCGACCCTACCGTACAACCATGGAGAACGCAGGTCAGCAGTACGACGAAGCATCACAAGAGCTCAAGGAGAAGTGCGCGAAGGAGAGCAGGTCAACTTCGGAGGGCGCGGCCCGCCCTTCGTGCAGCTGCTCATGCAATCCATGTTGTGGGCCGCAGAGGAAGGGGGCAAGCAGGACGGCCCAGCCTGGGCCAAGCAGATTCGCGAGATGTGGATGGAAAAACGTTCGAAGATGACGACGGTGCAGATCGGGTCGCCGTTGCTTCACTGACGGTGAAAGAGGAATCGTGGCAAGAAGGACGAGGGCGAGAAGGGCCGCGGGCGCGTGGTCTGCGCGATAGGAAGCAACGTGAAGTTGGGTCAGCCTTTGCTTCGCCTCGCGGAACAGATGATGTATCGCATCAGGGTGGAGAGGAGAAAGGGCCAGCGCCGAAGGGACCTCTCGAGAGAGGGCTGTTAGCAGAGCTGCAGGGGAGGCGTTGAGCAGCGATGGAGTACAACAGGAGCTCGACCACAAGACATCTTACACAAAAAAATCAACCCTGAGACCCCAGGACGTCCATTGATTGTTTGGGGGTGGGCACGTCGCGCTTTCCATGGCAAGACCATCGAAGCCCAAGAAACCCAGCGGCACCCTGGACGCAGACGCTCACGCAGACGCAGACGCGCGAGTCCGCCGGCCGGCGGGCGGGCAGGCCCCTTAGGGGCGTCGCGGGCGGGCCGGAGCCCGGTCACAGGCATGTGAACTTCAAGAAGTCACTCTCGAGGTCCGCCCAGAATTTGGTGCTTCCAACCAAAGCCTTTTGCAAAAATTCTGGCATGGAGGCAAGAAGGGTGTTGCTTGGCATGGGTTTCCACTGTAGCGCCCAAGCCAGCAGCCTCAGGAAAGGATCGCAGGAGAGAGGCCGCCTTCGGGGGGTCGAAGGGCTAGCTGTAAGTCGGGCCTGGCCCCCTACAGGCCAATTTTGGACGAAAAATGAAAAAGAACCCTAAAAATTGTCCAACATCGAAAAAATCGTCCCCTGACTATTTTTTGACTATTTTTGAATTTCCCCCTGTAGAGGGACAAGCCCGACTTGAGGCTAGCTCTCATCCGTCTCAAGCCAAGGAGGGGGCGGGCTTCGGTGTGGAGCGGGGGCCGGCCACTCGACCACCTGTGGCCGAAGCTTTGAGAAGCAGTGCCCGACTAGCTGAACGAATTCGGCTGGGGGTTTCTTCCACGAAGTGTTTTGGACCCGAGCCTCCCCCCCCATCCCCCACGGCTCATGGCCCCACTATCTCTACCACCCTCACACCATTCAGCGGAAGGGAGGGCAGCCAAGGCGCCGGGGAAGGGGCAAAGGAAGGGGCAAGGGTCACTCGCAGTTCCATTGGTCCCCAGCCGCGGGCCCCTAGAGGTTGCGTGCCAGTTTAGGGGTGCCCGCGGGGGCGGCGCGGCGCCCGTCGTGAGCACGGGCCGCACTCGACGGTAAGGCGTTCATAAGCTTCGCCCTCCAAAGTTCCTCCTGCGCTCCGCCGTATAGCAGCAGCTGAGAAGGTGAAAGGTAGCAACAGACAGCAGAACTCTCCAACGGGCCTGATCCTGGTCCTGATCCTTCTCAGCAGCAGCAGCAGCATCATCATCATCATCATCATCATCATCATCAGCAGCAGCAGCAGCAGCAGCAGCAACATCAGTATCCTCATCATCATCATCATAACCATCACCATCACCACCACCATCACTACGGCATTCGTCATCATCATCAGCATCATCAGCATCATCGTCATCATCATCATCATCATTATCATCATCATCATCATCATCATCATCATCATCATCATCATCATCATCATCATAACCATGACATCACCACGACCATCACTACGACATTCATCATCATCATCATCAGCATCATCATCATCAACAGCATCATCATCAGCAGCATCATCATCAGCAGCATCATCATAATCATAATCATCAATATCGGCATCATCTGCAGCATCGTCATATGTAGGTCGTCATCATCATCAGCATCATCACAACACGTTCATCAGCATCATCACGTTCATCATCAGCAGCAGCATCATTATCATCAACCATCACCATCATCACCATCATCATCAAATTCAGCATCATCATAACCAGCATCATTAGCATCATCATCAAAATGACGATGCTCATCATCAGCATCGTCAGCATCATCAACAGCATCATCATCATCATATCCGTCATCACCATCATGACAATCAGCAACAGCATGATCATCATCATCATCAGCAGCAGCATCATCATCATCAGTATCACCATCATCTGCAGCATCGTCATATGCAGGTCGTCCTCATCAGCATCATGACTTTCATAAGTAGCATAAAGTTCATCGTCAGCATCATCAACATGACGATGATACTCATCAACAGTATCATCAGCATGATGATAGCCGACATCATCATCAGCAGCAGCATCATCATAATCAACAACATCATCAGCATCGTCAATACAATCGTCATCGCCATCATTAGCATCCTCATCGTCATTATCGTCATCAGCATTATCAGCATCAGCATCTTCATAGTCATAAGCAGCATCATCATCAGCATCATCAACATCAGTATCCGCACCATCGTCATCATGAACCACACCATCGTCGTCACCATCATGACCGTCATCATCCTCAGCATCCCCATGCTCATCGTCATCAACATCATCGCCGCCGCCACCCATCATTTTATCCATACAGTCTTCTTCTACTCCCGCATCCTGATTACCATAATCCTTACCATTATCACAATCACCATCACATTCGCCATCATAATCAACAGCATAATCATCACCAACAGTAGCATCCGCATCAACATCATCAGCATCACCATCATGATCCATATCAGCATCGTCATCATCAGTATGCTAATCCTCTTCGCCGTGATCCAAATAATCAGCATTATCAGTTTATCATCTGAAGCATCATCATCACCATAAGCAGCATCGTCACCATCATCATCAGCAGCATCATCACAGCATCATCATCAGCATCCTCATCATCGTCATCAACCTCATTATCCTCACCCTGATCGTCATCCTCATCCTCATCCTCTTTTTTTCTCCTCGTCGTCGTCGCCACCGTCGTCGTCGTCGGCGTCGTCGTCCGCACCGTCGAAATCATCATCATCCTCATCAGCATCATCATCATCACCACCACCACAAACAACAACAACAACAACAACAACAACAATAATAACAACAACAACACCACCACCACCAACAACAACAACAACGACAACCACAACCAACACCACCACCACCACTTCTCCTCGTCACGCTCTATCAAGCTCCCTGGGATGAGGAGAGAGAGCAGTAGTGGTCACTCTTCCTCACAGAGCAGAACAGAGCAGAACAGGAGGATGGGGGGAGGGAGGAGGAAGGGACGGAGGGACGAGGATGACAACGGCGACGAAAAGCGGAAGGTGGAGGCAGGGAATGGCACTGATTACGCCTGACGCTGGACATGCATGTACTAGACATGCCACAAGGCAGGGAGGGGTGAGGAAAATGATTGGCGCCTGGCCTTCCCGAGTAATCATAAATTTACCCCATCGGATAATCAAATGACAGTCCAGATCCGTAGCAAGTTCTTCTGGCCGGCAATGTTTACCGACCTCCGTTGCAGTGGGGACTCGGGTACAATTGGTGCGTACTGAAGTGGCCCTTGAATCACGATCGTGGTAATTACTAAAGGGGGGGGGGGTAGGAGGAGGGGGCGAAGAAGAAGAGGGAGGGAGTGAGGAGGGGGGGATGGAAGACACGGAGGAGAGAGGCGGCAGGGAAGAGGACGGGAGGGGAGGACGGCGGACGGGGTGGAGAGCGAGGGAGGGAGGCGAAGAGGGGGGAGAGACGGGAGGGAAGGAAAGGGGGCGTGCCAGGGCACCGTGGGTCCTGCAGGTTGTGCGTGCCCTTCATCTTCATCACGAACCCATTGCAGAACTTGTCCTCGAGCCAGTTCTTCCCGCACTGGACATGCACCTGGCGAGGGGCGAGGGGCATCAGGAGGTGGAAGGAGAGGAAGAGGGGGGGAGGAGGAGCAGGCGGGGGAGGTGGAGGTGGAGGTGGAGGTGGAGGTGGAGGAGGCGAGGGCGGAGGCGACGGAGGAAGACAGTGGGGGAGGAGGAGACCCAGGAGGCCCAGGGAGGAGGCAGAGGGGGAGGCGGGACGGGGCGGACGACGGCCGCGTCGCTCGCCCTCTGCGCGTGGCCGACAGGCCTCTCCAGGGGGGCACCCTCGAACAAATCAGTCGAGTGGGAGATCGACTGACGAGTTGACTTCACACCCAATCGATTTGTTCGCTGGATCTAGAGGAGGGATGCGTCGGTCCGCAGACACGTGCCCAGACACCGGCGCGGGATCCGCAGACCCGGCGGAACTCTCCATTGCGGGATGCCTGCGTTCTGCAGTCGATTCTCCCACTCGAATCGGCCGCTCTGCCTTTGTTTGCGCGGCCTTCGCTCGGCGGCGCGCCTCCCAGGAGGCCCACGGCCTTCCGGGAGGCCTCCCCTCCTCCTCCTCCTCCTCCTCCTCCTCCTCCTCCTCCTCCTCCTCCTCCTCCTCCTCCTCCTCCTCCTCCTCCTCCTGCCTGCTCCGAGGCCTCCCCATCCCTGCCCCGACGCCACAAGCAGGCTTCTCGGGAGACCGGAGGGCATCTGACAAGCCTCTCGCCGCCTTCCGAGAGTGCCTGCCGC